GTGTGTGTGTGTGTGTGTGTGCAAGTGTGTGTGTGTGTCTGTGCATGTGTGGTGTAAAATGTGATTAAATGCTTTTTCTGAGTTCTGTCTTTCAAAAGATCAAAGGCCACAAACTCTCTAAACTGCACACAGCAGCAGCTCAGTCTGATGTACAGCTTGAGATGAAGCTTTAGCCTGAACGTCTTCCTCAGTTTGAGTGCCGTGTGTTTAATGTGAGACGTTCCTCTGTCTCAGGTCAACCTCTGGAGCTCTTGTGGGATGAGGTTCCCTGGATCCGCATCGGTCTCATCAGCGGGGTTCTGCTCGTTACTGCTGTCGTTCTGGGTTTATTGCTGGTATTTGGAAGAATCTGAGTCGTCGAGAGAAAACCATTGAAAGGATTCAAGTTTCAGACATTTCCAGGCAAACAGCTGATTTTGTGAGCTGTGAAAATCTACAAGTAGTTCAACAAGATATTATGTATTTTTATATATACTTTTGTCTTATCTGTAGAGCACTGCTGTTTATTTACAGTACGTAATACTATTTGATGCTTTAGCTTGATAGCTTAAAAACCTATATGTGACTAACTTCATGGAACATTATCTTTACTTAATGTCCTAATGATTTTTGGCATAAAAGAAAAATCAATAATTTTGACCCATACAATGTATTGTTGGCTATTGCTACAAATATACCCCAGCGACTTAAGACTGCTTTTGTGCTCCAGGGCCACATATATCCTATAAATATACTATATCTTCATCTATTCATATAGTTTTAAAACTTGAGAAAAAGTTGAACAGGTTTTTTTTTTTTTTCTTCAGAAAGAGCTCTGTCATTTTAATAACTAAGCTCATGTTTTCTCTGAAAAACACTGAAATGGGGACAGTTTGTAATTTGTTTTATATAAACCTCTTGAACCTTTAAATATGGTGCTATTCATTTCTATAGCTGTAAATGGTGCTGTTCGTTTTTCTGTGTTCTTAAGAGTATTTTTGTGTACCTGATCATTAAAGCATAACGCAAAATAGGGCTCAGGAAAATCAAAGCCTGTGTAGATCTACTAATGTGAAGCTTTTATATATATATGTTATGTAAAATTCTTTGAAGGGATTTTTTTTTTTTGACAGAAAATGAAGTTTATGATTACAAGAACAAATCTGACAACGGGCTCAAAAATCTAGGAAAAACAAGTTTTCATTCCCCATTGACATTTACCCCCGTTTTAAGCATAAACTCAATTTTGTTCCAATTTTCAAGTCGTCATTTTACATTTGCATCGCAAGTAAACTATCTTGATTCAAGAATGTTTAGATATTTCTATTGGAAAACAAAAATACAGAGGAAGATATACATTTTTTTTTGCAGCCCATGCAACATTTAATGCCGTTATACTTTATGAATTTAAGTCTTTCTGCTCTAATTTAAGGCCTTATTTGTGGAACCCTGATTATAAACTAAATTTTTGCTAAACTGCTCAAATTTAAAATTAAGAACATGCATTTTTTTTTCTTCGCAGTTTGTTTGAATCTAACACTGAAACTGATGACCTAAAATGAGTTTTACATATTTTGCACAAAGCTACTTAACCTTCTCGTGAAGTGAAAGCAAATGCAAATGTCCTCGTAACTGATGTAATTTTTCTAAAAGGTACATGTGAAGCTGACCAGACACAATAAAGAGCATAATTTTCCAGTGACAAGATTTTCCATTTATTCTGTTTCATCACAAAAACATGTTCTCTGCCAGCAACAGAACACAAGCCTTCAGAAATAAAAGACGTAACTGGGGCTGGTAAAAATTTAAAGCAAAGAAAAATTATTTTACAGCATGCATGAAACATTTACAAGTTTAAAACAATGATGGCGTTCAGTCAAATGCATCAATTCACGGTTCAAACCTAATCAAATACGAAGTGTGCGCATGCTTTCTGGTTTCACTGTCGTGCAAAGGCCATCGCTTTACTGAATCAAGGGGGACGTGGTTGAAGAAAATACAAAAGTACTAATAGATATGCCTTATCGAGATGATATTGCTTTAACGGAAACATGAGAAGTGAAATGAACGGAGCGCGTCATGTGCTGGTGGCTGCGGTGAAGACGGGGCCCGTATAAACGCCGTCTCCAGCCACTTCTCCCATCGCCTGCAGAGCCACCGTCGCTGCCATCGCCTTCGCATGCTTCTTATTGGGACTGGCTGTCTGAGGCTGATAATCACATCCGTTCACCACCACCTGATAAACACACACACATCTGACTGACAGCAAACACATCTGTGCATTCAGCCCCAAATCCATAACGTCAAAACCAATTCTTTAGCATTAACAGATCACAAAATGAAGATCAGTCTTATATACTTTCAATTAAGGGATGCATGATGTATTCAAGTCAGTAAGCATGTGCCAAACCTGTAATGGGAAGCATTTATAAAGCAGCTGCAGTCAATAAAAGATAAGCTTTAAGTGCTCCCTGTGGTTTTTCGCAGAAAAGAATAAAATAATAATAATAAATATTATAATAGTACATAAATAATACTAAAATAACACTGTATAGTAGTGGGGGTTTTTTTTTCTCATTTTAAGATCATGTATTATTTTACTAATTATTTATTTTTAATAAATATTAAAAATGTAATACAATGATGACTGAGAGATGAACAAATATTAAGCATATGATTTTTTACTTTAATAATAGTCATTTTATTTATTCAAAAATAGTATTGAATAATTATTTTATTTCATATAAAATGTATAGAATAATAATAATAATACATAATTTAATACAATTATTTTAATACATTTAACAATAAAAATCATATTGAAATATGGGGTTATAACACAATGAGAACTAATGGAAATGTCACCTATGATTTCTCAGATTTTAAACTCATTTTATTGTTTTATTGTGTGAAAGCTCAAATTGTTTAGCCCTAAATGGAGGATTCACACTCAAAAAAATATTTAGAGTAAAAAGCCATTTTTACTTATTTTCTATGTAAATGCACTCCCCTACAAAATCACCATAACCACTCTAGAATGATTAATTATTTCCAAATATTCAAGTCATATAGTGAACATTATTGTCGTTTTTCCATATGGCAGAAAAACGAAATATTGTGCTGCTGTAGTTTCAATTATAATATTCCAATGTCTACATTCACAATTCATTTGAAACTACTGGTTTTATTTTAGTGTGTTTTACATCATTTTTAATTTAGAGTGATTATTTAAAATATTCACTCTAGAACTCATCGCTAACCTTGAAGAGGAAGTTCTTGCGGTGGTCTGGTCCGCTGTGGTGCACCATCACAAACTCAGGCTGTGGCCACTTCTTCTTATTGCACATCTCCATCAGAGCAGACACCGGATGCTTCCCTGCACAATAAACATCATATCCTAATTCCCATAAACCCGCTGGAGTGGAGACTTGGGTAGGGTTAGGATTGTGAACCCACATTTTTTTTAAATGGAACAGTTTATTGAACCTTTAGGCAAATCTAAAAGTCTAAAGAGACAAGTGTTGTTTGCTTGTTTTTGTTTGATCCATCAGGCGTTTATGGCTCATATAATCTGATATAGTGAGAATATGGAGGAAAAACAGCTCAATTTTATTCTGAGACTCAAACTGAGCACAAAACCAGTCATAAGGGTCCATTTTCTGAAATTGCGATTTATGCATCATATGAAAGCTGAATAAATACGCTTTCCATTGATGTATGGTTTGTTAGGATAGGACAATATTTGGTCGAGATACAACTATTTGAAAATCTGGAATCTGAGGGTGCAAAAAAATCTAAATATTGAGAAAATCATCTTTAAAGTTGTCCAAATTAAGTTCTTAGCAATGCATATTACTAATCAAAAATTAAGTTTTTATATATTTATGGTAGGAAATTTACAAAATATCTTTATGGAACATGATCTTTACTTAATATCCTAATGATTTTTGGCATAAAAGAAAAATGTATAATTTTGACCCATACAATGTATTGTTGGCTATTGCTACAAATATACCCCAGCGACTTAACACTGCTTTTGTGCTCCAGGGTCACATATACGCAATTTGGTGCAGATGCTGATATTTATATGATGTAATTCTGATGCTTGTACTGTAAATAAATGAGATCTTTATCTTTGCACAGCAGATACTGACATAAAATGATGTAAATATCAGTCATCGCTCTATATCTCCAGTAATCTGTCTCAGTAAGATGAGATTGCAATGATCCAAACATATAATGCAGTGATTGAGAGCTGAAGAAATAAAGGCTCCTCAGAAGATGTGAGATGTTCTGGAGGCTTGTGAAGATAGAAGAACTGCTTTCTGTGTGAATGTATGTTAAACTGTAATTTATTTCTGTGATGCGCAGCTGTATTTTCAGCATCATTACTCCAGTCTTAAGCGTCACATGATCTTCAGAAATCATTCTAATATTTGCTGCTCGAGAAACATTTCTGATTATCATTGTTAAAAACGTTTTTGCTGCTTAATATTTATGTGGAAACAGATTTTTTTTTAAATTACTTTTATTCAGCAGGGATGCATTAAACTGATCAAAAGTGACAGTAAAAGAGTTCCATTTCAAATAAATGCTGTTCTTTTGAACGTTCTATTAATCAAAGAATCCTGAAAAATAAAACGCATCACGATTTCCACAAAAATATTCTGTTTTTTAACATCGCTTATAATCAGAAATGTCTCGCGAGCAGCAAATATTATTATGATTTCTGAAGATCATGTGACACTGAAGACTGGAGTAATGATGCTGAAAATACAGCTTTGATCACAGAAACAAATTACATTTCTATATATTCAAACAGCTATTTGAAACAGTAATCATATTTCACCATTTTCAATCAAATAAACACAGCCTTGATGAGCAGAAGAGGCTTCTTTCAAAAACATCCAACGTAATTCCGATCTTTTGACCGGCAGTGTATATTTTCCATAACACATGAGTAATAAGGTGCGAGCCTTCAGCAGGCATCATGTGACACTGAAGACTGGAGTAATGATGCTGAAAATACAGCTTTGATCACAGAAACAAATTACATTTCTATATATTCAAACAGCTATTTGAAACAGTAATCATATTTCACCATTTTCAATCAAATAAACACAGTCTTGATGAGAAAAAGAGGCTTCTTTCAAAAACATTCAACGTAATTCCGATCTTTTGACCGGCAGTGTATATTTTCCATAACACATGAGTAATAAGGTGCGAGCCTTCAGCAGGCGAAGCATGAACACTGTCCTGAACAGATCTCAGGCTCGGAGTCGGTTCAGTGCAAACAAACAGGAGGACAAGGCAGAAATGCATCAGTTCACACACAAATCCACATGAATAGAAGGAAGGGTGCTGGAGGACGTACGTACCTAGGCCCCCATCATCGGCCGAGCATCTGACGTGAATAGAAGGGGCCTGACTCTGACCATGGCAAAGAGGCAGCTACAAGGACTGACCCTGCAACAAGTTTCCATACAGAGGGGTGAGAGTTCACAGGTCAAACTGTGAGCCCCCACCCCTCGTCCATCCGTGTCCCAAACCCACCATCCCGAGCAATGAGCTTGAACCTCGCACCCACTGGATGCCAAATCCCACACATTCTTTTGACTGCAGTTAGTGCATGACCAGGCCCTTTTGACGCGCCAATCACATTTAGACTAAAAACCGGGAATCAAATGCAGCCTTCGGTGTCATTTGAACAGTTTGGATCCCGCTCTCAAGTCAAGAGTGAGCTCCAAACATATCCCAGTCGTATCTAGGCAAAGTTGGCCATTTCCGTAAGACTGCCTGAGCTGTGTTTGGTTGTGTGAACGTTTGGCGTCTCTGTATAGAGACCATGCTATTTTGCTAGAGTTTATTTAGCCTCCTGAGTCTAAATAAAAACGGTCTTAAAGGTCTGCGTTACACAGCGGTCAGCATCCAAAGCCTTCAGGACAATACGTCTCTCTGCTAAATTAAAAGGGTCGTGTTTTGTGCACATTTAATACGTTTAACACATCAAGGCAGTGATTTTACTATAGTTACGGGTTTTTAGAAGTGTCTAAGAATAACTATAACAAAACAACTTCAAGTGATTTATTGCTTTAATAATATGACAGGAACATCTATACGATAAAACACTTATTTTCAATGAATAACTACACTGCTGTTCAATATTTGGGGTCAGTAACTATTACTTTTATTAAGCAAGGATGCTTTAAATTGATCACAGTTGACAGTAAAGACATTTAGAATGTTACAAATATTTTCTATTTTCATTTAAAGTTTTAGTAATTTTTAATTAATATATATTAATTTTTATTATTTCTTTTGTATATTTCAATATAGCTTTATTTTTATTTCAGTTTAAGTACCTTTAGTATGTCAACACTTATTTAGTTCATTTAATATTCGTTTTACATTATTTAGATACTATTATAGTACTTATGTATATTTTGAATGAGCCTTTATTTTTATATATTTAGTAATTTTGTTATCTGCTTTTGTCATTTTCATTCATTTTTAAATATTTCCATATATCTTTATTCTATTTCAGTTTTAGAAAATTTTTGTCAAGGCAATATTTCTAAAAAAAATTAAATATTTATATTTTATATTATTTAAATCTTATTATAGCATTTATGAATATTTTGAATGACCTTTTATTTTTATATTTTTGGTTTTCATTATAATATTTGTTAAATTTGAGTAATTTTGCTACTTGTTTTTTAATATTTCTATATAACTTTATTTTTATTTAAATTTTAGAAATTTTACAAACAACAAACTTTTCAAATAAATGATGCTCTTTTCAACTTTCTATTCATCAAAGAATAAAATGTAAAAAAAAATGTATCATAAATGTTTTCAACATTGATAATAATAATAAATGTTTCTTGAGCAGCAAATCAGCATATTAGAATGATTTCTGAAGATCATGTGACACTGAAGACTGGAGTCATGATGCTGAAAATACAGCTTTGATCACAGAAATAAATTATATTTTACTATAGATTCACATAAAAAAACAGCTATTTGAAATTTAAATAATATTTCACAATTTTTACTGTATTTTTGATCAAATAAATGCAGCCTCGGTGAGCAGAAGACACTTCTTTCAAAAACTAAAAATCTTACTGACCCCATATTTTTAAACAATAGTGTACAAGATTAATACATATCATTAATCTAACTGTAAACGTGTGGTCACAGGTGTGCATACACTGGCTCATCCAATCAGATTTCAGATCCTGATGCGTATGTCTCTCCTCATTGGTCAATCAGAGGAGGGAGCAGAGAGACATCCTCTTCCTTCCTCCCCTCTCTCAAAAGACACTTTTAGAGGAGTACAGTGAGTTGCGTTGCCCATCCATCATTGCATCTGCCACGACAGAATTTCAGATATAAAACATCTGCATGACCGTGCACAAGTGGTGTACCTGTTCAACCGTTACCGCGCCTAACGGTTTCATCAGAGAGACTCAAAACAGGGCGATCAGGTCAAATATTTGCTCGTTTATTTGCCGTTTCTCTTTCTTTCAGCTGACGTCAGTAGTGGCAAGACTGTTTCCAAGGATACCCTTCAGTTGAAAATCAATGCTTATTTTATGAAAATCGGACAATCATTGTGCGATCAACGACTCGGATGGGTACACCAATTGGCAAAGCAATCACAGATGACAGTTCTTATGTATATGTCTTTATAAGAGAGAATGATGGGCGTTTCAGGATCTGTTTTACCCTTCAAGTGTGACGCGAGCGCATGTCAGAAGAGTGTAAATCTCAATTAAGCACAATAAGTCAAAAGGGTCTGACTGTACTATGCCAACTTGCACGAGGAAATGATGTCTACTTTGATTCTTGGGAATTTAACACACAAATATGATGCAAAACACAAACCGTCAAGCACAATATATGTCCAACATCATAGTACGAGTGGTGCCGTCGATTAATGGCTGTACCTTCTTAATCCAGGCCTGCGGGCCGCTGTTAGAGAGCTCATCGGACGAGAGCACTTGAGCGTCGGTGGAGCCTGTGAAGAGGCCGGGGATCGTGTTGGACTGGGCCCATGCATCGACCTGTGAACCACAATTAATAAATGAAGAGTTCATTTGCAAAAACCGATAACTCCATTTTTTCATTGCGCATTCCAAGTAATATCAATCAAACTGCAGTTGGGTTGTTTTGATTAAGTATTAATAACTTAAATACAGGTAATTTACAAAATGAAAGTTCATTGAAAGCATGTTTTTTTTTTACATATTAAAAGTTTGTTTTATAGCAAAAAAACGTTTCAGCTTTTATTTTCCTTTTTCGCCCTGAAGATGATATCACAGGTTCATCAAGTTCGTCGAAATGATCCATCCTTGATCACTTTTAGGCCCAATCCCAATTCTATTTTATACCCCTTCCCCTACATTCGCTGAAATGGACTTATCGGCTTTTGTTCAAAAACAAGGGCGCTTGTCGGCTTCTGCAGTAAAACGTGAACTCGCGATGCCTTGAAAGTGAACAAAACCGGCTTTTTTGACAAAACGTGTTTAGGGTTCAGATCGCGCTATATGTACAGAATAATGCACGGCAATCAGCTCGTTTTTTTTTTTTTTTTAAAGTGCTGTTTATCGTCTTTTGCAAATGAACTGTTCAAATATAAAACCACAAAATATGGAAACAAAGTCTCAAACCTTGGCTGAATTTGTGCAGTTCACATTTTCTGCGCTGATTGTGATGGAAGTCTTTGAAAATGTGCTTAATGGTGCTGAGGGCACTGCACTCCAGTGTTATTTTAGCATTATTCATATACTTTTACAGTATTTATTAATACTTTTTAAATGAGGTTTAAGTTTTATATTTTCCATTTTCCTATGTTTTAGTCATTTTGTTATGTGCTTTTGCTATTTGTTTATTCTTTTTTTATATATATTTCTATATGGCTTTGTTTATTTCATTTTAGTATGTCAACACTTATTTAGTTCATCTAATATTTGTTTAATATTATTTAAACTCTATTATGATATTCATGAATATTTTTGAATGCCTTTATTTTTATATTTTCAGTTTTCATTTTAATTTTAGGTTTAGTTTTAGTCATTTAGTTTAGTTTTATTTATTTTTTTTACATTTCTATATACATTTATTTAGATTTCAGTTTTAGTATTTTTTATAAACTGCTTTGAATAAGTGTAAATGTAAATATAGTACTTCAACAATCATATTTAGTTTAATCAAGGCAACATTTCTAATATTTAACTTAAGGTTTTCATCTAATATTATATTTATGAATATTTTGAAAAAGCCTTTATTTTTATAGTTTCATTTTAATTTTAGGTTAAGTTTTAGTCATTTAGTTTAGTTTTAGTTTTTTTTTTTTACATTTCTATATATCTTTATTTAGATTTCAGTTTTACTAATTTTTATAAGCCGCTTTGGATAAGTGTAAATGTAAATATAGTACTTCAACAATCATATTTCGTTTAGTCAAGGCAACATTTCTAATATTTAATATAAGGTTTTCATCTAACATTTACATTTTATATGATTTAAATATTATATTTACGAATATTTTGAAAAAGCCTTTATTTTTTTATATTTTTCTGCCCAGTAGTAGAATAAAATTCAACATATAAGCTTCTCAAACCCAGTGTCCTAGAGCCGAAACGTACTTGCTCCTGAGCCCGATTCAGCATACACATGGCACTGATGTCGAAAGGGTTTTCCGCCAGTCTCTTCTGTGCGACCGCTCTCTCACTGACGGCCAAAGTGATGTCCACAGGCTAGAAACCAGAGACAAGAGCTTGGCCAAGCTGAACAAAATGCTTAGTTGAGACCAATCTGATGCATTTCAGAAGCTGAACACTTACCTGAGAAGGTGCTTCAGGAAAGACGCTATCATTGTCCTTGCTGGTTTCCTCAGTCCCAGAAGAACTCGATGCAGATGGCTTTTCTATTTTCTTTTCGACCGGCACCCATTCTCCATACGCTCCATCAGCCTCCTTCTTCCTGTGCTGGGAGCCGGAGGACACCGGGAACTCCTTAGCAAAGACCACTTCGGTTCGGACGGCCGGCTTTATGGAGGAGTTCTGAAGGAAAAGAGGCCATATGGGAAACAAAGTAGGGACACAGCAATATTACAATTCTGGCCAATATGGTTTTAAATTAAACAATTTAATCATTTTAATCCAAGACATTTAACAGTGTTTTTAAAATATTAGATCAACTTAGATTAGCAAAAAGAATTTGTGTGTATATATATATATATATATATTTATTAGTGCTGTCAAATGATTAATCGTTATATATAAATAATAAAAATAAACAGTACACACTCATATATTATATAAACAAAAACGTTTATTTTGGATGCAATTAATCGTTTGACAGCACTAATATATATATATATATATATATAAAACAGCATACACAATCAAATGTCCAATATCAACCAATACTGATAAAACAAAAACTAAATCACTACAACTGAATTCAGGCATCACAGCATTATAATATACAGTGTGCAAAAATATAATTTTTATAATCTGCTGGTGTTATAAGAGTTTTTAAAGATTTACTTTGAAAGAGCATCAGATGATGGCAAAGGAATTATAAACGCAAGCACAATTAAATATCCAATATCGACCAATAACGATACATTTTTAAAAATCAGAGATAAAATTCATGTTTAATCTGAACCATTCAAATTCTATACATTGTCTAAATAAATAAAAATAAAACAAAATAAAACAAAAAATTACCAACTAAAATAATAATAGACATAAAAAGAGCCCAACCCCAAACAAGCTGCATAATTTGACAAAATTCATGTCTACAGAAATATATTACAATTCTATACCATTTTGTCTAAATAAATAAAAGACAAAACAAACAAAATGCAAATGCAATTTTTTGTGTTTTTTTTTTATTGTGAATATTTGGTGAAATTAAATGGTTTTAAATGCTACATGTTAATTTAGGCATCACAGCATATATAATTCGCAGTACAAAAAAACAGATATAATAGATAAAAATAGCAAGCTGCATAATTCAATGTAAAATTCATGTTTATAACATAAACAGCTTATGCAAAGATGTAACAAGATTAAAGCAAACCCCTAAACTCAAGTACGAAGAAGTCAAGTCAAGTCACTTACACCGAGACTGAACGCGATGCCCTTATTCTCCTTAAGGGAAGCTCCGAATAGCTTTTCATCCTCTTCATCGTCTGACACGTGTGGTTTTGCGATGGCCATCTCTTCCTTACTCTCGGCGATCTTCTTGCATCTCTGAAGGATTAAATAAAGTGTCGATTCAATGCAGATCAAGAAACACCAAAGTGCGAGAACATGCACAACCCTTACCTCTGTTAGCTCTTTAATGCTGAAGCTGTTCGCCTGTTTCGTTACTTTCTTTTTGGCTTCTTCAATACTGGCGAGATTGGGTGTGGCTGAAGATGGCGGCTTGTTGACGATTGTCGGTAACGGGGCCAGCTGTGGCAAGGAAGCCAAAGCACCCATGCTGGACAAAGCAGCGGTCATGGTGGCGGCAGTCATACTAGCCATAGCAGCGTTCATTGTCATGCTTGACATCACTGGCAATGGTAAAGACAAGGATGTGGGATTTGGGGTTTGCAAGGGCATCTGAAGAATAGATCTGGGCCTGAGACTCTCTGGGATCGGCACGCCAGCCTTGGCACACATAGCCGCAGCATTAGCCTTAGCTATTTCCAGCAGCTGCTCCTTATCTGAGAAAAGAAAGAAAGAAAGAAAAAAACAAGATTAAGAGAAGACCAATGCCATATACAGTACTGTGCAAAAGATGGAATAATTTATGGAAAGTTTTTTTTTTTTTATGTTTTTGAAAGAAGTGTCTTCTGCTCACCAAGGCTGCTTTTATATGCAGTAAAAATGTTGAAATATTATTACAATTTAAATAAACTCTTTTCTATGTGAATATATAGTCAAATGTAATTTATTCTTGCGAGTTTTCTGCATCATTACTCCAGTCTTCAGTGTCACATGATCCTTCAGAAATCATATTTTCAGGATTTTTTGATGAATAGAAAGTTCAACAACAATTTCTATTATTTGGAATACAAATATTTTATAAATGTATTTACTGTCACTTTTTTATCAATTCAATGCATGCTAATTTAATGCAGTTAAAGTGTTCATTTTATTATTTTTTGTTTTGTTTTTAAATTTGACTTGTGTCAGCTTTTACTAAGCAGCAAAACATTGATAATAATATGTTTTCAACACTGAAAATAATAAGAAATGTTTTAAAAGCTGAAAATCAGCACATTACCTTTTTACGAAATAAATACTTTTATTCAGCAAGGATGCATTAAATTGATCAAAAGTGACAGTACAGACATTTATAATATTAAACAAGATTACAAATAAATGCTGTTCTTTTGAACTTTATATTCATCAAATAATCCTGAAAAATAAAATAAAATGTATGATGGTTTCCACAAAAAAATACTCGGCAGCTGTTTTCAACATACAGCTGCGTATCACAGAAATAAATTACATGTTATTCACATAGAAAACTGTTATTTTGACAGTAATAATATTTCACAATTTTAATTAAATTTTTTTATTTTACTGATTGGTGAGCAGAAGAGAAATCTTTCTAAAAATCTATCATAATTATTCCAAACTTTTGACCTGTAGTGTAAAAGCAAAGAAAAGAACAACGAAGTTTCTTCATACCAAGTTCCGTAAGACGTGGAGGCGTCTTGCTGCTGCTGCGTCGAGTTCTGGACGCTGATCTCTTCTTACGGAGAATGAGGACCGGAGATCGACTGGGTTCCCGTTTCCATCGGTCCCGCTGGTTTAGCGACCGGCTTCCGAAACCTCTTCTCCAGCGCGAGCCGGATCGCGATCTCCTCCTCGAACGCGAGCGTGACCTCTTTCTCGATTTCGACCGTCTGCTTCTGTCCGGAGTTCGAGATTTCCTCCGACGGCCGTGCGAACGAGATCTCGACCTTTTCTTCTTAGGCGACCTCGATTTCGAGCGTTTGCTCCTCGTTCTAGACTTGTGCGATTTCCTTTCAGAGGGCGATCGAGACTTCCGCGAAGACGACCTGGATTTTCTCTTTTTCGTTGGCGACTTTGATCCGGATCGCGCAGCCTCTTTGGATCTTGAGGATATTTTGTGACTGGGAGATTTGGATGGCGAGGTTGGGCTCGTCTCGGCTGAAGTTAAAGTTGGATTTGGATTGGTTTCTTTCGTCTCAGGGTTGGCAGCACACTGTGAATCTTTTGGCGCAGCGGTTGAGAACGTCGAAGGTTCTTCAGATACATTGGTCACTTCCAAAGGCACCTCGGGTGAAATGCACTTTTGGGAAGACTTGGACGGCTCTGCCAAGAAGGGAACTGGTCGCCAAGATCCTTTAAAGCCAACTGCGTTGAAACCAGGATTCGAGATGTTGGATGCCATTTCAGATGGCTTGGTGTCAGAGTTCACAGCCACTGTTGGACTTTTTCTATTCTCAGTTGTGTCTTGAGACACATTTGTTTGCATTTCAGAACTTTCACTTTTGTCCACTGGATCCGATTCAGTTTCCGGTTTCAACTCGGACCTTGACTTCGAAACGGACCTTGACTTCGAAGGTTTCGTTCTGCTTCGAGACTTACTCCTAGAACGCCGTGGCGAGCGAGACCTAGATTTTGATGTAGACCTTCTGTTCCTCTTTAAGATTACAACAGACCTTGATCTAGTTCGCCTGGATCTTGAACGCTTGCCTCTTCTGACAGAACGAGACCTGGACCGACTGTTGCGTCTCGTAGACCTCGATCTACTTCTCTCTCTCCGTTGATGAGACCTCTTTTTGGAGCTATTTCTAGAGCGGGAGGTTGACTTTGATCGCCGTTGTCGTTTTGGGGATCTCGATCTGGTTCGTCTTCCTCTGGAGCTCTCCTTACTTTTCGATGTCCTGCTAGAACTTCTTTTCTTCTCCTTGGGCCTTTCATTTTCTGTGCTTTTGTGGACCGAATTCTCCGTCTTGGGAATAATGTCAGGCAACTCCTGAGGCTTACCAACACCACATGAGTCTTTGAGCTCGGACTTTGACGTCTGACCTGCTGAAGAGGACTTTGTATTTTCACTTGAAGGTTTCGTTTCGGACTCGGATTCAGAACCAGATGCTGAAGAGCTTTCGGATCGAGAGCCAGATCTTTTCACTTTGTCTGCATCTTTGCTTTTTTTCTTTTTCTTTCTTTTCTTTTTCTTCCCACTTTAAACATAAATAATCAGCAAATTAGAAAGAAAGACATTGTGAACAACAAATGTCCAAATAAAATTAAATTCTGACCCACTGAGATTAATCACTTTCATTTTTTATTCATTTGAAAGACCCCGATTATTTTTTTAACATTCGACTGGTGCCTGAGATCCAATGGTATAAATGATCAAAAGTTAAGAATAAAGACTTTTTATCCAATAAACTTTTGACACCAATTTTAAACCTAACTTCTAAAACACAAAGTAGCGTCAATTCATTGTGGTTATACTAACATTATTTGTCGTTCATAAGCACAAAGAACTGCATCGCACCTTTCTCGAGTCTCTTTGTCGGACTCGGTGTCTGAGCTGCTGTCTTTTCCTTCTTTGCGTTTCTTTTTCTTCTTTTTGCTTTTGTGTTTTTTGTGCTTTTTACTCTTCCTGTGTTTAGTGCTGGTGTCCTCTTTATCATGGTTGTCTTGGAGGTCAGTATGCGTGACTTTATCTGCCATGAAGACAAAGACTTATTAATGACAGAATACATGTCAGAAAACACAGACAATAGAAGAATTGATGACTAACCTGTTGGTGTGTTCATTTTTTCTTCCTCAAGTCCATCTTTTCTCGTCTCCGTCACAGGTTCAGACTGTGGCTCATCTGTCACACTGAATGAAAAAAACACTGTATTACTCACTTTAAAACATGATTTTGTGATTAATATCATGTGTCTGGCATGTGTCAAAAACTTCAGTTTACCATGGTAACCTTTAAGAGTTTGTAAATGCTTACCTCTCTTACATTATACCTATTGCGTTTTTTGCAACAAGAAAAACGTACCATGGTAATACCATAGTATTCTTTGACGTACACTCGAGTAACATGTAATTGCCAAAATACACCTGTAAGGCACTAATATAGCAGCGCAGCATAGCATATTTGTCAAAGTATAGTATTGCCATCTTTCTCTGACTGTACTGTAGTAACGTTACTTGCAGCATTTTCTGCATAGCAACTAACACATGGCAACAAACACTAACAGCTAACGCAATAAAAATACAAAATGCAGTCACAACATAATCGTAACATGTTTAAACGCCGTGTTTTATTGCAGTGCAGTAACGTTAGAGATTGTATTCATTAGCGCTAATGTTTGGCTAACCGGCTAGAACAAATAAAACTACAGCTGAAATAACGTTACTGATACAACGCGATCTTGTAAGGCACACGTAAAAGATCGGGGATTTTACCTGTTTTCTTCAGTTTCATCTTCGATTTCTTTAATCTTATTCATTACAAAATCCCTGAAAATCTGCTCGATATTGGTCGCCATCACAGTAGAAGTGTTGTTGGGTCCGCCAGTATCCCAGAATGCCTCAATAGCAGCTTCTTTTTCCGGTCACCACAGCGGCGCGAAAATAGATATGGGCGCGAACATAGATATAAGGCGGCAAATTCGAAATGTAAAAATGGTTATTGTATTGTACAGTTAAACGACTAATAACAGATATAACTTTTAGCCGCTTTGTGTTTCTTGTTTCCTCTCAACTATTAAATAGAATTTAATAATACCGGATATAATCGAGGGATCGACATCACGCGATTAACGCTCAAGTAATCATCGAAACATAATAATAATAATAATAATGAAAAACTGTATTACTATTGATACTAAATCAATGTGGAATGTTTTTATCTTATACATAGTACCATGTTACCTCAGTTTTGATATTCGATTAACCCTCAAAGGTGATATTGTTTTTATATGGCCAAAAAGTAAGATGAAATTCTGGTAAATCATAATCGAGTAAATCTAGTAAGTGTTTTTTTATTTATGTTTTGTCCAGTAAGTGTTCATCTTGTAATATTACTAACAATGGAACAATTAGTCTTACGTTTAACTTGTAAAAATTTGACAGCAAAAAGACACGTGAAGCACGAGCTTAAGGTAAGTGTTTGTACAATTATATTAAAATACTTTTTACTTGATAAAGTCTAAATCAGTCATATGACAGAAGGCATGTAGTAGATTGTGCGCAACAGGTTTTTCAGTAAAGTTTTGATCATGTTGATCATTTAGAGGCCTTAGAAATTCATATATCAGATATGATAAGGCTTTGTAGGGTTAAAAAGCTAGAATCAATCAACGTCTCTTGGTTGCAGTGCATTGACAGCTTTCTGATCATAATGGGATTGTTTATCAAGTCATGAAGACAAGTGGTTGACCGAGAGTAAATTATCATATAATATAACTGAACAGTTTGAACGTTGACGTCTTATCTGCAGGCTGCATAGCAACAGTTGTGTCTTATCCAAACAACTCTTACAAGACACATAAATAACAAGGGATATGTCTCGTAGGTCACTAATGATAAAAAAAAGTAAAAAACATGTAGAACATCAATTTAACAAGCCAAAAATATGATTTTGTTTATGCATTTATTTAGCAGATATTACGTGTGAGGTCATTCCAAATATTGCATGAAACTCTGAATACAACAGTAAAGTCAACTAGATGTTCTGAGATGGTCTTCATGCAGTCATAGGGTACGAACACAGCCAAACGTTGTCCACCAGGTCTCATCTGGAAAAATACCAAAAATAGCACTTTGCTTTCAGTATTTCCTGCATGCTGCAATCATTTTTTGCTTTTGGCGCGATATAGCATTGACTGACCTTCAGTTATATTTTAGAAGCATTACACAACTTAATAAGAGCACAAAGTTCAAACATGTTCCAAATGATGATGACAATGAATAGTTATGTAACTTAATGGCGTCATATTAGCTGACAAAGATAATGTTCATTGATAAGGAAAAGCTTACCCATTCTAAACACGGTGACTTTCATACACGTTTTAAGCACTGTGCTGGGGTCTAACAAAGTCTTGCATCCTGAGCTTCTGCAGGGTGTGTGGCTGGTACTCAGTGCCTTGTCTGAACTCATCCACTGGAAAACACAGTATTTTAAAGATAGTTCACACAAACAATGAAATTTCTTCAATGCTTGAATTGAATGTTCTGCTTAATAACTTTGTGTTGCACAGAAGGAAAAAAATGGTAATATATAAAATGCACTCTTAAAAATAAGGTGGAATTAATGGTTCCATGGAGAACATCCATGGAATCTTTCCATTGCACAAAAGGTTCTTTAGATTAAAAATTTAGATTTAGTTCTTCATACTAAGAAAAATAAAAGGTTATATTTGAGTACTGTTCACTAAAAACTCAAAATGGCTCTTCATTGCTGCGAAAAACCTCTTTTTGAAACCTTTATTTTTAAAAGTGTTGTAAGAAATGATGACAGCATTTTAAATTTTGAGGAAAAATCACTACAATATTCCGAAGTGCAAAATTGCAACCCCTCTGATTCTATTCGCCTTCTTTGCTCCAAGCGGGATTTGGAGCGGTGTTTCCGGCATGGGAGGTGGGCGCGCTAACATAGAACTTAAAGACCACAGTCTCTAGCGTCATTCGGTAGCACGCCTCTTGAGATCAAGGGGGTGAGGGTTACCCTCACAGCTCTTACCAGCTGACCTCTTTTACATAATAACTTTCAAGTCTTAAACCATGGTTGATATCATGTTTTGAAGCACTCACATGGCGCTGTGCTCCTCTGCAGTTCTGTTAGAGATGGCAGCAGTTGTCCAGTTCTGGAATCCACCATAGTGGCGTGAGAATTCTGGGTTCCCTTCCTCATTTCATAAGCTGGAAGATTGTAGACTGTGGAGAAAACAAAAAAAACACTAGTTAAATATGCCCAAAATCTACTAGGTGCATTGACATTTAAAAAATGACTTGCAGACATACAGCCGGAAACTCTTCTGTTCATTTCGCCAACTTCATGCTTGAGCATCCCAGTGTCCATGTCCATCAGGAAGCGTCTGGAAGGTTCTGTTCCTTGCCTCTTCTCAATAGGTGCTGGATTGTAGACTGTGGAGAAAATAACACACAATTGAAGGTACCCAGAATCTACGCTGTTTAATGTCATTGTTATACTAGTGTTTGTTCATGCATTAAAATCTATAATGCAAATTATTTTGCAGACTTACAGCCGGAAACTCTTCTGTTCATTTCGCTGAGTTCCTCCTTGGGCATCCCAGTGTTCGTGTCAATCAGGATGCGTCTGGAAAGTTCTGTTCCCTGCCTGCGGATCTCAACAGGAACTGATTTGTGGTTCTCCTTATGTTCAGAAGAGTCTTGGCTTCTTATGTCCTCATGCTCAGAAACCACTTCCCATTTAGCTGCTAATGAAGGTGAAAGAAAACATTAGTCCAGACTGGTAAAGGAAAGCCAAATTTCCTGGTAAAAAGACCAGTTTAATTTTTTATTTATTTATTTATTTGGTGTTTTATGTCGGTTAGTACTGGTTTGTCACTTCTGTAGCTGAACAATCAATGGACAATCTCCATTAGAAAGGTAGACTTACAGCCCCCTACTCTCATGTCCATCTCATTCCTGTGTTCTTTGAGTAGACCGGCGTTCAGGTCCATCAGGAGGTTTCTGGAAGGTTCAGTGTCTTGTTTGTGCAGCGCACTCAATCTGAGCTCCTGTAGGATGTATGGCTGGTACTCAGTGCCTTGTCTGAACTCATCCACTGTAGAGGAAAAAAACAGGGAAAAACATAGTATTTAAAAGGATAGTTTACTCAAAAATGTTAAGTTTCTTCAGTGCTTGAAAGTTCAGCTGAATAGCTATTCTGTTGAACACAAGAAACAAAACCATTTTGGAAAATTTAAGATGGTAAGAAATTATGACATAATTGACATTTTTGATGAATCCCTATTATATCCAAAAGTGCAAGTAGTGTAGGTGTTTTTAATAACTTTCAAGTCTTAGAACATGGTTGATATCATGTTTGAAGCACTCACATGGCTCTGTGCTCCTCTGCAGCTCTGTTAGAGATGGCAGCAGTTGTCCAGTTCTGGAATCCACCATAGTGGGGTGAGAATTCTGGGTTCCCTTCCTCATCTCATAAGCTGGAGGATTGTAGACTGTGGAGAAAACAAAAAAAACACTAGTTAAATATGCCCAAAATCTACTAGGTGCATTGACATTTAAAAAATGACTTGCAGACATACAGCCGGAAACTCTTCTGTTCATTTCGCCAACTTCATGCTTGAGCATCCCAGTGTCCATGTCCATCAGGAAGCGTCTGGAAGGTTCTGTTCCTTGCCTCTTCTCAATAGGTGCTGGATTGTAGACTGTGGAGAAAATAGCACACTATTGATGGTATCCATAATCTATTCAATGTCATTGTTATACTTGATTTCTCTTAAGAACAGCTTGAGTGTTTGTCCATGCAATTTTGCATGTTCATGTTGACCTTACATATAATACGTAGAGGTTTTGAAATAGCAAAGCAGCACTAAAATTTATAATGCAAATTATTTTGCAGACTTACAGCCAGAAACTCTTCTGTTCATTTCGGTGAGTTCCTCCTTGGGCATCCCAGTGTTCGTGTCAATCAGGATGCGTCTGGAAGGTTCTGTTCCCTGCCTGCGGAGCTCAACAGGAACTGCTTTGTGGTTCTCCTTATGTTCAGAAGAGTCTTGGCTCCTTATGTCCTCATGCTCAGAAACCACTTCCCATTTAGCTGCTAATGAAGGTGAAAGAAAACATTAGTCTAGACTGGCAAAGGATTGCTGAGAAAGCCAAATTACCTGCTAAAAAGACCAATTAGACTTTACTTTGGATGGTTTATGTTGATTAGCACTGGTTTATTGCTACTCTAGCTGGTAGACCAATGGACAATCTCCATTAGAAAGTGAGACTTACAGCCCGCTACTCTCCTGTCCATCTCGTTCCTGTGTTCTTTGAGCAGACCGGTGTTCTGGTCCATCAGGAGGTTTCTAGAAGTTTCAGTGCCTTTTCTGTACACCTCGGCAGGGATTGCTCTCTGCTCGTGTTTTTCGCTCTGAGCGCTGTACTGCGATCTCATCATGGGACGCATTCTGAGCTCTTGCAGGGTGTGCAGCTTGTTCTCAGTGCCTTGTCTGAACTCATCCACTGTAGAGGAAACACCACAACAAATGCAGTCATCAATGTGCAATTGGCAGGTAATATGGAAATTTCTTTCAAGTTATTTCTCCATTAGAAGAGTTCCAATATAAGATTAAACAACAGCAATTGGAAACTTTTGCTGAGGTTTCATGGTTCCAGGATGTTTCTCTTGAAAAAAAGACTAATATCATGAGTTGCTGAGATCCAAAACTCTAGAGGAGATAGATGTGATATTATTGGGGTCTTTTTCTCAGGAGAACCATTGATCGAGTAACTAAACAAGATCAATTTGAGACTTCTGCTGAAGTCTCCTGAAATGTTTCTCTTGAAAAAAAAAGAGTCTAATCTCATGTTTTTCTTCTAGATTCTCAAAAATGTTTCAAACTGCTCAGATTTGCCAAAATACCAAAGTTTGCAATCAAAGGCAGAGATCTCAATATGAACTCAAACATTTTTCATCACATTCTTCCAAGTCCTAATGAACTATGCAATCCACTAATTTACAGCTCCATACTTCTTACTGTATGCCAATCGCATCAGTTAGTGTTATATATTTTTCCACTTTTTAAAGACAGAAGTCTATGGAGATGCAGCTCTGTTAGAGATGGCAGCAGTTGTCCAGTTCTGGAATCCACCATAGTGGGGTGAGAATTCTGGGTTCCCTTCCTCATCTCATAAGCTGGAGGATTGTAGACTGTGGAGAAAACAAAAACTGATTAAGTAAGCCCAAAATCTGTTAAGTTCATTGATATTTAAAAAAAAAGGCTTTGCAGACATACATCCTGAAACTCTTCTGTTCATTTCGCCAACTCCACGCTTGAGCATCCCAGTGTTCAGGTCCATCAGGAAGCGTCTGGAAGGTTCTGTTCCCTGTCTGCAGAACTCAGCGGGAACTGATAATTGCTTCTTGGGTTTCACATCAGTGTTCACGTGCTTCAGAGCTGAGCTATCCCTGTGTTCATCTTGGACCATTTGTGGCCCAATTTGTTTTAATTTACCATTTGGGAATCGGTGCAGTGGTCTTGCATGGAGACCTGCAAACACATCATGAACATCAAACCTGCAGCTTATTTATTATACATTAAACATGCCAAATGTCCTTTCATATAATCTCACTTAACCTAATAGCACACCTCTACTTCACAAGCCATAAAAACTGATTTATGACTTGTCTCTATCTCAGTTGTTGAACAGCTAATCACATATTTTATCAAGCAGATAAAATGTGCTTATGTGCCAAAAAAGAAACAGACGTGGTTCAACCCTGATAAAGGTTAAAGTTCAGAAGAACATTTGTTCCCAAACCTTGAACTAACGAGGAAAACCAAACCTTTACACTAGAACAGTTTTCACAAAATCTACCCTATTGTTATAACACAACTGTGATCAATTTAAAGAAGCCATTATAATGTGATCAAAAAAAGAAATATTTTAAAACCTTCTTAGACTGTTTGAAAGTGATTCCAAATTATGATTGATTATAAAACTATTATTTTAGAAAAATAATAAACTAAAAAAAGTAAGATCCCTTCTGTATATTGTTTTTCCTTTTAACATCACTATATCAATTTTAATTGCATGCTGGAATTGCTTTTTGTAAAGCAGACAGATAATTCAAACATATTATTAGAATATCAATAAATAAGATAAAAATACGGAAATATATTCTGAAACCTTCTAAGACTGAAAGTGATTTCAAACCCACATGCATTTATTATGATTTTAAAATAGTAACAAAACTATTATTATTTTGGCCAAAAATGATGACCATGGTAAGATTTTATAATGTAAGTACACATTTTTTAACATCACCTTACCAGTTTTAATATTTTAAATATCTAGCTACATGCTAGAATCATGTTTAAAAATCAGCTAGAATATTAAAAATATATAATGTATATAAATAAGACAAGAAATGCAGATAAATCTCACCAGCCACGGCCAACAGGAGCAGCAAGACCCTGAACATCCTGAGATGACCCTGGAAAAATATGGGAAAAAATTATTTAACAAGTAGTTTGTTGTGGCTTGTCAAACACTACACACGATTTCTAACAAACAGTTGTGAGAATGACTTATCCTTTCTGTTTGACTCACCTCACACAACAAGGATCTTATGCACTTTGGAGTCGCCTTTAATAACCCGGAGACTCAGATAATAACCTGCGGTTGACGTACACCTAATACTCTCTCTCTTTATATTTTCATCTGCCTTTATCTCTTAGACACTGATAAAACATCTGCTCTTTGATCCTGATATTCTGACACACGACCCAGTTCAGCTGATATTAGTGTCGGTATTCATGACCTGAATCACTTTATTGCACAGAGATGTTCTGATATCATTTACCAGGGGAAAAAAAGCATTGCTCAGAAGTTCCTCTAAATGGAGTTCTCATATATTTCGATTTAATGTTCCTCGGGAGACAGAAAAACAGACTAGAGGCATCAGTTGTCATCCAGTAAAAGTTTAGAGCTTGAAAATGAACGTGGAGCGGACGAGAAATGTTTGAGTTCAAGTTGATGTCTCTGACTTTGTTGGCAAATCTGAGTACATTATTGAGATCTGAAACTCTAGAGGAGTCACAGACGAGTCTTTTTCCCGGGGAAAAAACATCTGAGAATTAGGAGACTTCAGCAAAAGTCAAAATTTGCTCTCCTACACTGAGTAAAATACAAAAAATGGTGTAGAATCAACTTCCACTCAGAAATTGCTAGCAGATTTCACAATAAAGTGGATTTACTTTTGTTCCAAATCTGTATATGTTTCTCTCTTCTGATGAACACAAAAGAAGATACTTTGAAGAATATTGGTAACCAAACAGATGCTGGTAGCTATTGACTTCCATAGTAGGAAAAAAAAAATATATATATATATTTTTTTTTTCATTTTTGACTGGTTTATCCCTTTAACTTGTTCATGAAATTAAATGAGAAATTTTAAAGTAGAAAAACTGAAATTGTATTTTCTTGAAAAACATAATCCAGTAATGTTTTATTTACAACTTTGAAAAATAATTTTACATAATTCAGTTTAATATATTTTTTTTTTAAATTTCTAGGACAAAAAAATTGAGATGTTAAAGTGATCTTGTGTGGATATTTATGGACTGTCTTGCATTATTGTTAACGACTAATAATTATCATGTGTTTCAAAGTCTTTTCCAGAAGTGCAAATTGGCTTCACAGTTCCTTGTATTGTTTTGAAGGAAGTCAAGTATATTCTGAGACTTGAGAAAACATTGAATCGGGTTTGCTTTCTAATAAATTCAGGCAGAGATAAAGAGATATTAAGCAATAAGGAAATGTTTAGAATATGTGAGTTGTGTTTTCCTGTTCAGAAGTTACCTGTCATGTTGTTTTTTAGGATGTTTCTTAATGAAGAGTCTATCATCAAGTATCTTATATTCTGGTCTTTGTATATGGTTTTGAACACAAAGAATATCTAAATGAACAGAGTTTAGTATTGTTTGACAATTTTTTTAAAGCATAATCTTTAAAATACACTTAGTTTAGTCAGTAAATGTTAGTCAGTCTAAAACATCTACAGATAAAGATAAAAGGAGGCTTAAACACACTGGTATGAAATGTTTGACGTGCAGGAACAGATGTTGATGGAGGATGAAAGTATGAGTTCTCAGTGATGTATTATATCGTAAGTCCTTTCTTGTGCATTTGTTTTGGAGTGTAGCGATGCACTGAAGTGTCACATACACGCTTCCAGCCGCTCAAGCAGACAAACACAGAGAGACAAACGTGCTTGAATAATGTGAACAACAGACTTTGACGCGAGTTGTGATGTACTGAGAGAGAAAGAGCGCATGTTTGCCTTTGACACACACACACACACACACACTCGCACACACATATTAGAATTAAATATTTAAAACATATCTTCCATATTTTTACAGTTTAATTTCTCATTTCTAGGAAACAATCAAGATGTTAAAGTGATACTGTGTGGATTTTTATGGATTGCCTTGCATTATTGTTAACGATTAATGATTATAATGTGCTTGAAAATCTTTTACACAAGTATATACACTTTGATTTTATGCAATAACTTTATTTTACATTGTGTTTCCCATGTATGTTCTTTGTGACATTTAGTAACACTTGCTTTCAGAGAATCTGTGTTGAATGTAAGTGTATTTTACACTTATCTCTAATTGTTTACTCTTGACAGTGTTTCAAACAGCTGTTATTTACAGAGCGCATACTTTGACTCGTGAGGATTGAATGCAGAAAACACTTAAACTCCTTTTCTTGAATAAACTGAACTGGAGTGTGTCTGTATTTTCTCTCTTTTGAGGCGACGGCCCACACACAAACTGCCTTCACCGGCCTAAATCTGCACTGCTTACCCTTCTGTCACACAGAGAGAATAAGACGACTCGTCAAGAGCGCAATGACTGTGTGTGTGTGTGAGAGTGTGTGTGAGAGTGTGTGTGTGTGTGTGAGTGTGTAGTGATTTGTAATACAGCTGATTCGGCCTCAGAGCATCCATCATTTCATGACAGATTGTGGCAGCGCATCTTAATAGACTTGTGTGGGACCTTGTGCTGTTGCCTGTTTTCACCAGCAGAGGGAAGTCTTAGCATTTGGTTTCACAATTAGTGGCCAGAAATGAGTTGGGTTGCTTGTGATGACTGAAAGTGATCCATATTCACTCCACATATTATAAAGCATTCTTAAATGATGCTCCCAAATTAGTTATGTTTTGGTTTATTTTCTAAATGTATTCATAGTAAAACTCACACAATTACATTTGGGGCCCGAATGAGGCTCATTGAACAAGTTTACTCCCTGTTGAAATAACAGCCTAAGGTGGCAAAGACGACAAGTGTCCCAAAACCGTCTAAAACCATCAAAACAGACCAAACGTAACAGCTTGGCCCGGCTGGTGTACTAGTTAACCACCTCAGGCTGTTATTTCAGCAGGGCTGCCATGATTGCAAACAGATTTCAGCCTTTTTAATGGGTTTTGCAATCAGTTTGTCACTCAATATGATCTTAAAGGTTTCTAATTAAAGAAAATGAAAAGAATCTCACAAAATATTTAAAATTACATTATCCAAAAACAAGTAAGCTCATGGCAATTTTGGTCTTGGAAGAGTATGGTATGAGAAATGTTTGAGAACACATTGAGATTTCTGACTTCTGATTGCAGACTGATCAACACACTCTCGTGGTAGGTCATAACTACTTAATATTTCGCCCAGTTGGAGGCCAAAGGCCTGCTCACACAAAGAACGATAACTATATTAGCGTCCACATCAACACACAAAAATGCTCCGTTTATCTTGTGCACGCTGCAGTTTTATCGTCTGCCGCTTTAAATGTTTTGCGCTCTTTAAAGAAGGATGGATTTTGATTGTCTGTAAATTGTTTAATTATTCATTAGATGGAAAAAAGCATTCTGAAAGTGATGCTAACTATATAGCGTTCCTCAGTGTTGGGGAAAGTTACTTTTAAAGGTAATGCATTACAATATTGCGTTACTTCCTAAAAAAGTAACTAATTACGTTACTTAGTTACTTTTTATTGAAAGTAATGCGTTACGTTACTTTTGCGTTACTTTTTAAATCTGGGCTGGGCTTGCTTGTTTGCTTTTAATATAAAAAGTTTTATTTTTGGCAAATGTAAAAGCCCTTTCACACCAAAAGCCTCAGGCTGAAGGAAATGTAAATTCACGTCTGTACAGTAGAACACAGAAGAAGAAAGTTCAACACTCTTCAGCAATAAAAAAAAAAGAAGAAGAAATGTTAGTTTATCTTGTGTAATTTTTGCTTATTAGTATGGTACTTATTTGAAAAAGTAACTCAGATATTCTCTTGTAAATTAAAAAGTAATGCGTTACTTTACTAGTTACTTGAAAAAAGTAATCTGATTACGTAACTCGCGTTACTTGTAATGCGTTACCCCAACACTGGCGTTCCTCTGTGATTTTCGTTATAGTTGTGGTGTGGACTTGAGATTTGGGCTATTTGATTGTTTGTTTGTTTATTTTAACATGATCTCTTCTGAAGCTTTGGAAGAGAAGTGTGTCTTTTTCTCTCAAAAAACGTTATTCAGTGTGGGGCGCAGACCTTGAACGACCGTTTGCACTGATCTGTCATTCATTCTAAATGAGGTGAGAGATCCACATTCAGGCCACGAATCCTGGAGGTAAACAAGAGCGTCTTGGATCTTCTTAACCTTTCTTCTGAACCCCGCTCCGTTCAGAACGAACTATAAAAATAATTATATTACCATCCTCACCAATGCACCATTACGTTCTGCTCAAATCAATGTTGTTGCTGTTGTTTTATCATCTGAAAATAAAAATAAAAATCATTCTGAAAGTGATTTCAATGATATCGTCTCTGTGTTGTTATCGTTATAACGTTATAATTAGCTATATAAGAATATAGTATCATTACAGAATTTCATAGAATTAGAACAATTGTAAATACCACCAGTGTTGGGGAAACTTACTTTTAAAGGTAATGCATTACAATATTGCGTTACTTCCTAAAAAAGTAACTAATTACGTTACTTAGTTACTTTTTATTGAAAGTAATGCGTTACGTTACTTTTGCGTTACTTTTTAAATCTGGGCTGGGCTTGCTTGTTTGCTTTTAATATAAAAAGTTTTATTTTTGGCAAATATAAAAGCCCTTTCACACCAAAAGCCTGAGGCTGAAGGAAATGTAAATTCACGTCTGTACAGTAGAACACTGAAGAAGAAAGTTCAACACTCTTCAGCAATAAAAAAAAAAGAAGAAGAAATGTTAGTTTATCTTGTGTAATTTTTTCTTATTAGTATGATTGAATTGGAATCTGATTACGTAACTCGCGTTACTTGTAATGCGTTACCCCAACACTGGCGTTCCTCTGTGATTTTCGTTATAGTTGTGGTGTGGACTTGAGATTTGGGCTATTTGATTGTTTGTTTGTTTATTTTAACATGATCTCTTCTGAAGCTTTGGAAGAGAAGTGTGTCTTTTTCTCTCAAAAAACGTTATTCATAACAATTTTAGGTTTTAGCAATTTTGTACAATCTTATTTGTACGTTTTCGTACAAAAATCTGCTTATGCCGCACTGACGGTTGGGTTCAGTCGGGGACCTTCATGCATATGTTTTTTTTTTCTTCTTAAAATTGCATGTT